AAAAAAAGAGTAATGTAAGCATTTCATTAATTTACCAAAATTACAATAATCTCCTTTAAAATAGCATTTTTTACCTTTAAAAAACATGTAAAGCAATTTTGAGCAACTTCAAATATCTACTATTTATAATGGTAATTTCTGTATAATTTACTGTACCCCCACCTCACCCACCAACATATCCCTATGGTAATACCCTGTGATAACTAAACCCTCCTGAATGGACCTGGATCCTATCTGATCCTTTCAATATAATTTGGAAAAACAGCAAGAAAGTAATGTGTATAACAGAAGTCTTTGGAACTAAACCGTTGAATTTGAGTCTGAATCCCAAATATGTGCCTTAGTTATTTAAGCTCATTCATTGTACCTCGGTTTCAAATTCTGTAATATGAGGATCACACTATTTACCTATAGATTTATACATTCCAATGTTGCTATCTATAACTCATATCTATATCACAAGCTCTATTCTGACAGTTTATTATTATTTACTATCTGCTGCTATGTTTAGGGAAATAGGAGTCATTCTATGGACGAATAAATCTGCATAACAGGTTATAAACTGCCATGTACAAAAAATAAAAAAATATGAAGCTCAAAATTCTTGGAATTAAAATTATATCGAATGTACACATGTACACAAGCATGTGTATATGTGTATGTAAGATATATTTCATGTATATTTTTAAAAATTCAGTGTTTTAAAAATATTAACCTCTTTGAAAGAAGCAGATTTTTAAGAAAGGCTAATTTTTTGATTAACTTTTTCAAAAGCATCAATATTTTCTAATTAACATTAAACATATACCTAATGCATCAGTGCCTGTTTTGGATCCTTAGAAGTCATTTAATCCAAAATGATTTACAGCACCGAAGACAGTCTTCTAAACATTTTATTGTACAAAAACAAGTTTGTTGGCCAGAAGGAATGCTAACTAATAGCTACCCTAGTCAAAGAATATAAGAAATCATTTTCTGACAAAATTTTCCTTTTTTGAAACAAAAGTTGGAAAGAACAATAACAGCATAAATCTATAAATGATCAAAGTTCTTTTTCATCTTCTTTCATCTTCTTTAATTAAGATTTGGCCTTAAGTATCTACGTAGTATGAACCAAGATGATTACAAATGGACAAGCACTTAATTTATTACATCTTTTGAGGTAGTTGTGACAACCTACAAAAACAAAATTTGGTATCATATCAATACCCAATTATCAAAAATCAGAAAAAGAAATAGGTGAGATTGTAGGAAAAAAACAAGATGGGGAATGAGAAGCAAAAGCTAAGAAAAAGAAAAAGGAAAGAAGAAAAATCAAGAAGTAAGAAAAAATTTCTGTTAGACTTTAGTCCATTCCAAAAGTAGTAATTTATACTTTCTCAGTTCTATAATGACTTTTTTTCTCCTCCATGTAAACTGAATAATCATCTTCTCTATATCTTAAATTATCTCAGCACATCTGAGGGTCTAGCACAGTACTGCAAAGTAGCACAATTCACTAAACTAAAAATGAAAATTTTTAAATTTTCATTTTGGTTTTGCTACCACTTACTCCCCAATTTTAAGAAGACTTTCTAAGCCTAATGTTTTCCATCTATAATATGCACAAACAGTTCCAAATACAGGATGGATAGATTCTGTGGATAAGACAAAAATAAAAAAACTATTGGTTTTTCAGTTGAAATGTGCTATATGGACAGTGCTAAATTTGAAGTAGTGACCATAATATTATAAATTATTTAACACTTTACAATATACAACTTCCTTCAAGAAAATAATTTCATTTCATACACGCCAAAAGGAAGTTTACAATAGATGGGATAGTTACTATTTTCCCCATTTTAAAAATTAACAAACTGAAGCTCATGAAGGAGATTTTATTTGCCACGTCAAATACTTAGGAGCCAGTACTGATTCCAATTCAGAGATTTTCTGTACTTAAAAACCCAGGCTGAAAAATCCAAGCCTTCAGATTTGCTATTAACTAAGTCTGAGGCTATTCTCTCCAAAGACTGAATATAAATAACAGCATGAGAAAGAGTGTGCTCTACTACCTAGAAATTAAATTTATCCTCATCTCAGTATTTCTTGGCTTCCCCTTATTTCTGGGTGCTTGCCTGTTGTTAACATTATGGGTTTTGACAAGGGGAAGAAACATGCCTAAACTCTAGAAAAAAGCTTGATCATCAAACGTAATCATAGAGATTATCCAGTGTCTTTTAATCCAAAGTGTCTAGGCTAATACTAGCCAATGGGTTTAGTTTTGAGAATTACATATGACATCTAATTATCTGGTACTAATAGTTTTGACTTTAAATCAGTAAAATCCTTTTTCAACAATGAAACAGATGTGCTAAAGTTTTTTAATCAAAGTCAAACTCTCAAAGAAGGAATACTTTTGACAAGTACCTCAGTGATTATTGAATTTGTGCAACATTTCTAATGTACTGTTTGTAACTATAGATATATACACTATTTCAGGAGGAACTACGTGAATTTATATCTCTTCATATAATTGAAATGTCACTTTTAAAATATGACATTCTGTTAAGCAAGATAAATTGACTATTTTAGAATTCAAACCAATAACAATAAAGAATCAGTTAAAGAGCTAACATACCCAAGTGATAACCCAGTTTAGGATTCCCAAGCAGTACTAGAGTCTCTACAGATGGGGAAAAACTAGGGTAAAAAAGTAGTATTCCAGTTTTAGACCAGTCTAACTGGGAGCTCTTTTATTATACAGGGCTACTACAAACTTCTTTTTCTCTGTGTTCTAGGATACAAGGACTTCCAAATGATATGTGAGGCATAAATGCAAGATAGGACTATCAGAGTAACAAAATCATGTGTGATTTTGATGGATTCAAAACTAGCCTGATGAGCTAGAGCTGTAACAGCATGGGAAAGAACTGATTTACACTACATTTAAGAATTAAATACATTAGGAAAACCTTAAACATCCATGCCATAAAGTATTATGTAGCTGTTAAAATAAGTGAGGTACTTCCACATGAACTAATATGGTAACACCCCTATGATATATTAAGTAAGATGGCAACTTGCATAATGATGTAATATTACAATCCCATGGGGGAAAAAAACCAACACTGCAATTTAATATGTACGTGTGCGTGTGTGCACATACATACCTATACACACATTTGTAAGCACTGAAAAGAATTTGAAAGTATTTACATGAAACATTAACAGTGTTTGTCTCTGGGAAGTGGCAACAGGGAAACTTAAAAATACTTGATAATTTTCTATAATGTTCAAAAATTTTAACAGTGAATAATTCTAATAAAAAATAGAAAAAATCTTAGCAAAATCTAAAAATAAACTAGCACTAACTTATGAATTATATTAGTCAAAGACCACTGAAAAGGGTACTAAAATCTTTAGAAGTAAGCAAAATCTAAAAATAAACTAGCACTAACTTATGAATTATATTAGTCAAAGACCACTGAAAGGGTACTAAAATCTTTAGAAGTATATATATATATGTCATCAAATCAGTGTTTAAAAACACCAATAACTTTGTAATTTATATAAGTTAGGGGAGAAGCCTGATTTGTATCTAAAAGACCCAAATAAAGAAGGCAGTTTGTCAATAATACAATTTGCAGAAAAATGAGGTATTACTGGTTGAGAAGAAGACCAAGTTTCTTCTCAAGACAGTAAAAAATTACTAACTTTCGATTAGGTAGAAAGAGGTGTTAAGGGACTTCAGATTTATGGCTACATTTTTTTCAGAAGAAATCAGAGGATGTAGAGGAATTAGAAGAAATTACAAGTATAATTGTTAATTAAAGTTTAAATCTGGTAACTTGCCAGGCATTTTTACTGCTAAATGTATAGTGTATAATTTCTCTTTTCTAAGTGATGAGTTGAAGCTAAATTTGCAAACCCAAGTGCATTCCAAGAATATCATAACTTCTTTAAACAAACGTCAGAATGTAATCTGTTTCAAAGTAAGTTGCATTTATTGACCTACCATAAGTATAAAACTGTAAAATTTACTACTTTCTAAAAGTACTTAATATTTTTACTTATTTGGTAGGAACTAGAAACACCTATTTCCAACAGTCCAATAGGTAAATTATAAAATTACATATACACACATATATAACTTTCAAAAATTACGTAAAATGAATGAAATATATTTTATATATTTGTCAATATCTGATTTATTTTTACAATTATTTTGGAGATAAAATATCCCTGAACATTCAAATATCTTCATATCATAAAAATTAGTACAGATGTTTTTAAAAACACATAGAAGCTCATTTTATCCAAACCTTTACAGATTACATTTAAAAAAATCTTTAAAACAATAAAATTTAGTTGTTTAATAAAGCATGAGTCACTAGGCTCAAACTTTCTATTTGGACATGAAGGTTTTCTCCCCAGTGGACTCATGTTTAAGTGAGAAGGTGAGAAAATTGCCTTGCTAAAGTAAATCAACAAATGAATGCAAAGTATCTAGGTCAAAATTAAGGTTGGAAATAATTAGAACAGTACGCAACCAAATAATATGTTAAGACAGTAGCTATAAAGAGGCAAAATGATTCAAAGATGACAAAATGTACACAATCAAATAATGTTCACCAAATTCTTCACATTCAAGGGTCTAAGTACTATATTTCAAATTTCCTTAAATCCAGTAGTCCTATAATCTCATAATTATTTTCTCTTTTCTGAAAATTCCTTGCATTAAACTATTATAATTTTTTAACCTTTCATGTTAAAAAAAATGTTGAAAAATACAGTTCTCAACCTTAAAAATAAGAAAACAAGAATTATAAAATTTACTAATCAAGTTTGGATAATTTAAGTGTTAGTACAGGGCTGTATAACCACTACATTCAACATCATGAAGAATATTTAATTTTCCTTAGAGCAAGTATCAAATTTGTTATGCCAACATTTCTATATAAGTTATTTTTGCACTCACATTTCTGCATAAGTACGTATTTTATAGTAAAACAAAGCACACTCTTACCCCAGCTTTGAAAATCCCAGCAACATCATGAAGAATATTTAATTTTCCTTAGAGCAAGTATCAAATTTGTTATGCCAACATTACTATATAATAGTTATTTTTGCACTCACATTTCTGCATAAGTACGTATTTTATAGTAAAACAAAGCACACTCTTACCCCAGCTTTGAAAATCCCAATGAAGTTCTAGATAAAAGTCACCTAGCTGAGAAATAAAATATGAATAATTACTAAATGCACATTAGTTAACAGCTCTTCTATCTGCTTTATATTTTGCTTTTAAAAAATCTAACTTATTAAAGGTCTACAGACAGGAATAGAAAATAATAAAATGTTAATTTCAATGTCTGAAGTTTGAGAAAGAACAAAAAACAATATATGGTTATTACTTAAAACATGACATTACTATTCTGAACTACAAAGGAAAATATGCACCACTAAAGATTTTACAAGAACTTTTGATTTACATAAGAAGATATCTGAAACTGATAAGCATTTAAGTTTGTATTAATAAATATTCTATTTCTCAGCATAACCAAAATAATAATAGGCATTATTTTTAAAATAGTTAACTTTAGAAGTGTTATTAAAAATGACTACCAAAATGATCATTTGTATAGCCTCCTAATGCTTTAAAAAAAAAAAATGGCCCATTGCGATAGAAAATTGTTTTATGTGAAGTGTTAACACAAATTTACTAAATCTGAAATATGTCATCATATGATATCTATGGAGAAAATTTTTACTTAAAAAATTAGAAGCCAGACAACAAAAACTATAACTGTTAAAGAAACTATTAAATCAAATATTCTCCAAAACTTTCATACATTCTGAATATAAGCAAAATATTACAAATAGAACAACATCAACAAGTTAGTCTTCCTATTTCTTACAACAAAAAATGTGAACACAGAACCTGAGTAAAACATTTTTCTGGCCCTTTCTACATCTCTTCAAATCTCAAAAAAATAGCACCCCTAAGAGAACACAAGCTATCATCATATCATCATGACAGGCCTATCTTTCTCTCACATTTCTTTCAGTCATCAAAAATACAGAGGAAGAGAATAAAAATAGAAAACAATTTTCTCTCTCTTTCTGTGCCAGCACACCCAGCTCTTACCACTATTAGATAGGACAGCCAAAAAGAATTTTTGTTATATAAAGAATGCAAACTGCTCCTTCTAAGCAGTAGCATCTTCAGCTGTTAGAGAATCTTCCAATCCAAAGGACAAAGAAAAATTTTGTCATTAATTATGACTTACCTCCTTTTTTCTTACAGCTCTTACCTAACTTATTGAAAATTATAAATCTTTATCTTCCTAATTCAAAGTAAATGGTGCTTCTGTTAAGATTATGTTTATACATTATCATCACAGTACTTTATTTCAATTATTGCTTAATTTAAGAATGATTTTTTGCCATTTCTTGACCCTTAATAATTACTTAGAATTTAGACTGTATTTCAAAAAATGCTTAAATTACACTTACAAGTTACACGTTAGGTGCAAAATCGGCAAAGAAACATAAGCCTACCTCTTTCAGGGCTTTTAATAATCGAGGTCGTTTTTCTTCAACACTTTCCCTGGACTGCTGCTTAAGCTTCCTTAAAAGAGCTGTAACTAAAGTTTAAATAAAAAAAATAAATAATAAGGAAAGTAATTTACACCATACTAGAAAACACCACTGGCTTATTATACACATAGACAGACAATATATATACATGTGTGTGCATGGTATACATGTGTATAATAATAACAACCCCAATATATTTTAAAAAGACAAAAATCAAAGAGCAATGTTTAAATTACTGAAGATCTCTTGGAATAGTAGAAGAAACTGAGCTACAAAAGTCAGGGAACATGTGAACTACATATATAGATAAGTTAGTAAATAAGTTTAGTAAAACTGGTATAATTTCCAAGGAATCATGAGAAGAGACATCTCAAAATCAACCTGTAACATATAAAACTAGTTTCTCTTAGTTTTTAATTATCAGTAAAATTTACCTGACACATATACTCAATTACATTTCGATAATAAAAAAAAAAAAAGGAAAAAAATTTACCTGACCACGCCAGGATTTACCAATCTCAGTCATATGAGGTAATGTCCTGTTGTAACATTGATCTCAAGGAAGATCTCAAAAAGAGTAGATTTCAAAAATCCCACTGGATACCACTTTCCTAAAAAAATATAATTACCTGCCATTGTTACATTTCCTGCAATTATACTACCAGGTTTATCTGTTCTTTTGTCACTGGAAGTTGTACCCTTACATGCCTACTAAGTATAAAAAATACAAAAATGAATCCTACTGTATCTGTAAAAAGAGCTTCCAAATCTAAAAGAACCTGAAGCCCCTCATAGTATTTTCTCAACTGTTAAAAAATTGAGATGTAGACACATTGACAAAATTCAGACCCCAGCTTATTAGCTGTGTGTAAACTTGAACAAGTTACTTAAGTTCCCTAAGCTTCAGTTTCTTTTTTCATTTGTCAAGTAAGAATAAAAGTAAAATCTACTATATAGGGTTACTGTAAGCACTGAATATAAATTGCTTATTACTGTGCCTGCAATTAAGTAAATATAATCTAGAATAAAGATCTAATGTTACCTGACAAAAATCAATCAATTAATCCCTAACATTTAAATAAGGAAAAACATTAGACTTGAAATAAGCCTAGCAAAAAATAAAAACATAAAAAATGGTGCATCGGGGGCCGAGCCCCTGGCGCACTCGGGAGAGTGCAGCACTGGGAGCGCAGGAGTGCTTCCGCTGCGGGTTCGGATCCTATATAGGGATGGCTGCTGTGCTCACTGGCTGAGCGTGGTGCGGCAGGTCTCCAAAAAAAAAAAAAAGTGCATCGGGGAAAATGAACACTTCAATATATTCTGATTTCCTCCTGGTCCTGATATATTTTTCATATACATACATATGCGTACTTTTGAGTTTTGTGTGGGTTTTTTACTATTAGTTTACTGTTTAACGGTACACATTCTTATAAACCACTTCACCCCATGTGGAATACAGAAGTGTAAGGTGAATAAAAAAGAAAAGAAGAAAGTTTGAAGGCTTGAACTAGATTTGTTTTGTCCACATAGGTCCAATTCAAGAAATACCCAAGGAAGAACATATAAAATAGTAGGACCTATTCTTATTTTTAACCATAGGTCTAATGATAATTCCAGTATATTTTTAAAAGCCAAAGATCAAACAGCAAGGTTTAAATTACTGATGGTCTCTTGAAATAGTAGAAACTAAGACACAGATGGAAAGAAGTCAAAGAACAAAAAAAAAAAAAAAAAAAAAAAAAAAGAACATGGGACCTCGTTTCACTTATACCATTAACGAGTTCTGTGACCTAGATCAGTAATTCCCAAATACTAATCTATGTTTCATGGCCCAATTGTTCCAGTTTCCACTGCTATGCAGCAAAATGAGAAAAACTGGAAACTAAAGTGTTTTTTTTGTTTATAAATTATAAATGTTTTTCAATTTAAAGACTATTCTTCCTATTTTTAGTGTCAAGAAATGCGGACCACAGAAGAAAGTAGCTATCTTCTTAAATTCCTATAGGCTAAAATGGAAAGTTAGCTTCCCTACAACAATCCCCAAATAAAATCTTCTTCTGATCTGTGAAATCCAAAAAAGTCAGAGAACCAATGATCTGGATAATCCCTTACAGATTCAAATTTGTACAAATCTAACCATCACATTTATTATTATTTAACTTTAATATCAAAACCATCTTACCTAAAAGTAGTACAATTCTTTTTGTGGTAATTATTTTTCTCTATAAGCTCAAATTCCTTAATAAATCTTTATTGGGCCAGCCCGGTGGCGCACTGGATAGTGCGCCGCTTGGGAAGCGCGGCGTCGCTCCCGTCCAAGGGTTCGGATCCCACATACAGACCGGCTCCCGCTCACTGGCTGAGCGAGGCGCGGGAGCAACACCGAGGGTTGCAATCCCGTTGCCGGTCCCCGGTCCGGTACGGGGGCAACACGGCAACACTGAGGGTTGTGATCTGTTGCCGGACACGGAAAAAAGACAAAAGACAAAAAAAATAAAAATAAAAAAAAAAATAAAAAAAATAAATAAATAAAAATAAATCTTTATTCACCCTACCTTGCCTTCAAACTAAAATGAGATCTCTGTTGAATGCTAAGAACGAAAAGAAATCAATTCCTAGCTAGAAAAGGTCTCAATAAAAAGCAGACGTCATAGAGTCTTCATCCACCTAATACAATTTCATCAACTAAATATAACTGTAGCTGACTGAAGGCATTCAGTAAATAACAGAAAATTATACAATGACCAAACATTACTAAAAAGGTAATAGCTTCAACTATATATAGCATAGAAGTATGTGCAAAGAGATTCCGTTCTATGAGGCTTCACTTTTAAAAATGGTATCAACTCAAACTTTCTAACGAAAGTACAAACATTCCGAAAGCAACTACGCAAAATGACCAGTATGTTTTTTAAGGATGAGTATTTATATTCCCATACTGTAAGAATCTTACTAACACTGATAATGAAGATAAAATTAGTTTTAGAGGATTTAGATGGTATGAGATAGAATTCATACAAAGACACAAATGCAGGATTCCAACAAACTACAACTAATTTACCTTTCTCTCTCCTCCTTCTCCTATATAAGTTTTCAGTTTGTTTAGCCTAACAATTTTGGAATTACACCCTACTGCTCCAAGTATTACTTAAATATATATCTTCTGCCCTCCACTTCCTTCTAAGCTCCAGTCTATTTTCCTCTTCCTACTGGGACAATTCTACCGTGATGTACCACAGTTAACTCAAATTCAAAAAATTTAACACAAATTAATTAAATCCCATACTGTTCTCCTTACTATATTCTGTACATAAATTAATTAATGAGATCACCATTGATCCATAATAGAGACCTCAGAGTTACCCTGAGTCCTCTCACTATCACCATATCCCAGAGATATTCAAATTCTGTCAATTCTTTCTTTTAATTATCTTTCTAATATATCCTTTACTTTTCTAAACACACAATCTCTTCTTTAAGTCAAGCTTATGCCATTTGTTCCAAAAATGTTTTTTTCTAAAAATCTCCTGCCTCCCTGGCTCTATTAATTAAAAAGACTTCTCACTTATCTAATAATGTCATTCCCTGCTTTGAAGTCTTTCAGGGTTTTGCAATGACTGGAGATTGTTATTACAACCTTAAATTGCACATAAAGCTGATCTCAGTGTGGTCCATTTACCAGTACAAACCCATCTCCCAACACTGATCTTTACCCTTCCACCCATGTTTGCCATCTATCCTCATTAGTTCCCTAAAATATGCCTTGTTCTTTTTCACATTTCCAGGTTTTATACACATTGTGCTCCTGCACACTAGAATGTCTTTACTCACCTCATTCAGAATACTGCAAAATATTCTATTGGTCTCTCTCCCCTAAGCAGGATGAGTTCCTCAATGTCAAAACTAATGACACATCCCTACTATGTTTCTGATGCATCTGGTAGGTACTCAGAACACAAATAGACAATCCCCACCCTAATGAAGCTTTCTGCCTAATGGGAGTGGCAGATAGAGTTCTGACAGTACATGAGTAGAGAAAGCTTCCTGAGATCTGAAGAATTAAAAGGAGCTAAGGCAGAAAGGGGAGAATATGTAAGTATGAGAACTATGAAAATCTGAAAAGCTAGCAGAGCTGACATAAAGAAAGCCAGAGAGAAAGAACAAGATGAGGACAGACAAGAAAAAGTGACACTATCAGAGATGAGCTAATGGATACAAATCAGGTAGAAAGCAAAATTAAGTTCTATTGGTGTACAGTAGAGCTAGGCATTTGCAATTAACAGTAATTTACTGCATGTTATCAAACGGCTAGAAGAGAGGAGATCAAGTGTCCTCATCACAAAGAAATGATTAATTTTTATAATGATCAATATGCTAATTACCATGATAAGATCATCACACATTGTATATACATACTGAAATGTAACTCTGTATCCCACAAATATGTACAATCAACGTTTGAATAAAAAAATTTTTTTTAATTAAAAAGAAAAATAAACCAAGTTAGCGATTTTGGTCTTCTTCCTAACAACAGGAAGTTTTAAAGTATTTTAAATTAGAGTAATATCAGATAACAAAATATTAACAGTGGTTATCGTTGAGAGATTATTTTCTTCTTTTTTCCTTATAATTTCTCAATTTTCTTTTTTTTTCTTTTTTTTTTTTT